TTCTAAATTTAAGGGACCACACAGTTCAGGCACTTTTTGGAAAGTTGATTAATTGTGTATACTTAATGGCTGTAGGCACTTGGCAGCAAATATCCAAATAAAAATGAAAAATCGTAGTCAGTTATCCAGATGTCTTATTCGTGAAGCCAAGTATCAGTAAATGCAAAAATATCTGAATGATGGTCTGGACTTTTATCACTTGTTATCTGGCTATTTTGGCATAATGCAGACATAGACCAAATCACTTTTGTCTATTTCTATAGCAGTAATAAACTACAATAAGAATTATGAGGTAAGCAATGGAAAGAATAATCAAATAAGTTACTCCAAAAGTAAATAGTTGTTTGAATTGCAATTGCAGTTAAACTATTGATTCACATTCCTATATATGCACTAGGCCCACGTTAAAGTCAAGGTATTTGAGCTATAACATGTAAATGGAGCTGCAATATTTAAAATGTATTTCTTATGCATTACGAAGTAATATATAAAATGCATATATATAATACATATATATGTAGTATATAAAATGCATATATAAAATGAATTTATGGATTCCTAATTAATTTATGGATTAAAATGAATTTATGGATTTTATTTTAATTATCAAAGATAAAATTTAGAAAAACATAAACAAGTTTTTTTTTTTTTGCATTTTAGGTTTTGGGGTACATGTGAAGAACATGCAAGATTGTTGCATAGGTACACACATGGCAGTGTGATTTGCTGCCTTCCTCCCCTTCACCTATATCTGGCATTTCTCTCCATGCTATGCCTCCCCGACTCCCCACCCCCCGCTGTCCCTCCTTATTTCCCCCCCCCACAGACACCAGTGTGTAGTGCTCCCCTCCCTGTGTCCATGTGTTCTCATTATTCAACACCCGCCTATGAGTGAGAACATGCGGTGTTTGATTTTCTGCTCTTGTGTCAGTTTGCTGAGAATGGTTTCCAGGTTCATCCATGTCCCTACAAAGGACATGAACTCATCGTTTTTGATGGCTGCATAATATTCCATGATGTATATGTGCCACATTTTCCCTGTCCAGTCTATCATCGATGGGCATTTGGGTTAGTTCCAGGTCTTTGCTATTGTAAACAGTGCTGCAATGAACATTCGTGTGCACGTGTCCTTATAGTAGAACGATTTATGATCCTTTGGATATATACCCAGTAATGGGATTGCTGGGTCAAATAGAATTTCTATTTCTAGGTCCTTGAGGAATCGCCACACTGTCTTCCACAATGGTTGAACTAATTTATACTCCCACCAACAGTGTAAAAGTGTTCCTATTTCTCCACATCCTCTCCAGCATCTGTTGTCTCCAGATTTTTTTAATGATCGCCATTTGAATTGGCGTGAGATGGTATCTCAATGTAGTTTTGATTTGCATTTCTCTAATGACCAGTGATGATGAGCATTTTTTCATATGTTTGTTGGCCTCATGTATGTCTTCTTTTGTAAAGTGTCTGTTCATATCCTTCACCCACTTTTGAATGGGCTTGTTTGTTTTTTTCTTGTAGATCTGTTTTAGTTCTTTGTAGATTCTGGATATCAGCCCTTTGTCAGATAGGTAAACTGCAAAAACTTTTTCCCATTCTGTTGGTTGCCAATTCACTCTAATGACTGTTTCTTTTGCCGTGCAGAAGCTGTGGAGTTTGATTAGGTCCCATTTGTCTATTTTGGCTTTTGTTGCCAGTGCTTTTGGTGTTTTGGTCGTGAAGTCCTTGCCTACGCCTATGTCCTGAATGGTTTTGCCTAGATTTTCTTTTAGGGTTTTTATGTTGTTAGGTCTTACATTTAAGTCTTTAATCCATCTGGAGTTAATTTTAGTGTAAGGTGTCAGGAAGGGGTCCAGTTTGTGCTTTCTGCACATGGCTAGCCAGTTTTCCCAACACCATTTATTAAACAGGAAATCCTTTCCCCATTGCTTGTTTTTGTCAGGTTTGTCAAAGATCAGATGGTTGTAGATATGTTGTGTTGCCTCCGAGGCCTCTGTCCTGTTTTGGTACCAGTATCATGCTGTTTTGATTACTGTAGCCTTGTAGTATAGTTTGAAGTCCGGTAGTATGATGCCTCCTACTTTGTTCTTTTTGCTTAGAATTGACTTGGCTATGTGGGTTCTCTTTTGGTTCCATATGAAGTTTAAGGTGTTTTTTTCCAGTTCTGTGAAGAAGGTCATTGGTAGCTTGATGGGGATAGCGTTGAATCTGTAAATTACTTTGGGCAGTATGGCCATTTTCACAATAATGATTCTTTCTAACCATGAACATGGAATATTTCTCCATCTGTTTGTGTCCTCTCTTATTTCGTTGAGCAGTGGCTTGTAGTTCTCCTTGAAGAGGTCCTTTACGTTCCTTGTTAGTTGTAGTCCTAGGTATTTTATTCTCTTTGTAGCAATTGTGAATGGCAGTTCGTTCTCGATTTGCCTGTATTTAAGTCTGTTATTGGTGTATAGGAATGCATGTGATTTTTTCACATAGATTTTGTATCCTGAGACTTTGCTGAAGTTGCTTATCAGTTTCAGGAGATTTGGGGCTGAGACGATGGGGTCTTCTAGATATACAATCATGTCGTCTGCAAATAGAGACAATTTGACTTCCTCCTTTCCTAATTGATTACCCTTTATTTCTTTTTCTTGCCCGATTGCTGTGGCTAGAACTTCCAGTACTGTATTGAATAGGAGTGGTGAGAGAGGGCATCCTTGTCTGGTGCCACATTTCAAAGGGAATGCTTCCAGTTTTTGCCCATTCATTATGATATTGGCTGTTGGTTTGTCTTAAATAGCTTTTATTATTTTGAGATACGTTCCATCAATACCTAGCTTATTGAGGGTTTTTAGCATAAAGGGCTGTTGAATTTTGTCAAAGGCCTTCTCTGCATCCATTGAGATAATCATGTGGTTTTTGTCTTTGGTTCTGATAAACAAGTTTTAAACCACCAGTTTAGCTTTATATGTTAATACTTCACAGAAAATACAGATAGGTAAAATATCGAAGGACATAATCCATTGTCATATAGGGAAGGGCACCACAAAAAAGTGAATTGACAAGAACTAGACTAGAAGGAGACAAAATTGTGGAAACACTGACATTTGCCAGCTGTGTGACACAAGCAAGTCAGTGAAGGTCTTTGAATCTCTCTTTTTCTATACCTATAAATATAAGGAGCTAAATAAAGGAAGGCAAGTGAAACTGCCTTGTCCCGCCCATCTATTTGATCGGTATTCAGAAAGGGCCAGTTTTCTCCAAACAAAGAGCTCTATGAAAATCCACATTGACCAAACATTCCTGAATGAGCATACTTCACTTTACATACAGTCATGATAAAACAGTGTCATTTTAGGGGTAGCAATTTTGCATCTTATAATTACTGAGTACTAACACATTATTGTTTTAGTAGCTATATCTGTTGAAGATAGTTATATGAAGAAATGTTTTAAGAGTTTATTTTTGTCTTTCATACACTCTTGAAAAAATAGAAATATATATATATATATATATATATATATATAATTGTTTCATTTTATACAGGAGAGATTAAAACATTAAACATTGCTGAAAAGAATGTTACAAAAGAAAAACTAGAATGAGAACCCAGGTGTTCCATTGGCCAATTCCATGATCTTTTATTTGACCTTGGTTATGCCAAGTAAAACAACTATGGAAAATCTCTTTCACAGACTGGGTAAGAAATAACCATGCCACAGAGAAAAAGCCATTTATCTAGAAACAAGTACTATTGTAAAACTTTCCATTTTTACAGACATAAATTTAACTTTTAAGTTTTTCAAAAAACAATCAAATTTAATATGCTGGCTTCTCTTTTATGTTGGGTATTTGTAGAATCTAATAGCAGTTGTAAATAATCAATGGTGTTAGACTATCCTGCTGCATTTTCTGTCAAGGAAAATCGGCACGAATCAATCAAACTACTGACTTCTGAGTTATTTAAAAATCTTTCAATATCATTTTAATATATAATTTATTATTTGGGATTAGAAACATAAATAAAGATGGGTAAGTATAAATATTCCTCCTTTTGTGTCTTTTAAAACATATGCAAATGTGATTATTGTATATCAAATACTATTTTGACATTCAATAAAATAGTTTGTTATTTCAATATTACTACAACTTGTATAAATCATAAACTTCTTTTGCTTAGCAAATAATACTTAACCTACTAATTTGGGGGTAAGAAGTATAGTTTTTTTCATGTAACATTATCTTAAAATGAACTGTTAATAGCTTCTAATGATGCCATTAATTATATTGTCACAAGTTTTTTGTATTTAAAAGTAGTATTTTACAAAAAGAAAAATTAAGATAAAAAAATAAGCCCTTAGATAAATAACTGCACATCCTATATGTACAATAAATTTTTTGTGGGAAAAAAAAAGGGTTTCTTCTCTAGCAAATACTTAGTATGTATCAGGTACTATTATAAGTACTTTCGAACACATTTAATTATAATAAGGGTCCCCTGAGATAATTGCAACTATTGTCATTTTTCATGTGAGGAAGCTGAAACATGGAAAGGTTGAGAAACTTGCCCAAGGTCATACAGCGATTAAGTGGCTGTGCCAAAATCCTGGCCCAACTGTCTGGCTTTGGAATCTGAGCTCTCACCCACTATTCTCTCTGCTGCTTTACTAAATTAAGTGGTAAAAATAATGAAAAAACACCAAACAGCCACTTTTAGGCTTCCAACAAAAGTGCAGTTAACAATAAACTTTGTTCTAAAAATGGCTTATTTGTTTTCACCAACGAAACACCACAAGCTGTTGCATGCAATGATTCTTTGTAACAGCTGCTCTGCCTTGTGCAACTTCCCACACGCACACCAAAAGTTACTATCAATTACAATTCAGGGGGAAAATTATTTTGGGTAACAGAACAAATTGACAAATACTCTAGTAAACAAAGCATTGCCAAATTGCTAAAATATGAACACTTTACTAAAACTTTTTCTGTTTTTTCTGTGCTGACTTTTTTAAAAGGTGTAAACTGTGAATTGGAAATTGACGAATGTTGGTCGCAACCTTGTTTAAATGGTGCGAGTTGTCGGGATGCTCTGGGGGCTTATTTCTGCGACTGTGCCCCTGGATTCCTCGGGGATCACTGTGAACTCAACATTGATGAGTGCGCCAGTCAGCCGTGTCTCCATGGAGGGCTGTGTGTGGATGGGGAAAACAGGTACGTTTTCTCTGGCCTTGGGTGATTGGCTTAGAACTCCCTGACCAAGAATTATGTTACCATTCTGGTGAATTTAGAGCTCTCACATTCTCGGCTTAAAATCCGGGGGTAACTCTATACATCCACAGATGAAAACATTCAGATTTCACTAAAAAAGATAACCTTTGGAGACCATCTGTCTCAAGAGGGAAGATTTTACAAGTCATTCTTGTAATAGTTTAGAACTGCTTATCCTATGGAAAATAGCCAATTTTTCAATTCCACGAAATAAACCTGCTGTAGATAGAAAAGGTGCAAAAACAAAGCTGGAGGTTATTCTATATGTGTATTTAAGGTTGTATCTATATGTCAAGGATATAAATCAGGTGACAACAATAAATCCTTTAAAAATGTTATATAGACCATGTTGGAAAGGGCGGTGATACTTAATTACTTATATCTTGAATTAATTTCCATGTGTTTGGGGAATTGGCTGAGTACTTTTGAGAAGGCATAATGGTTAGAAATAGCTATGTGATTCTGCATCAAACTGGTCTGTCATTGGCTTTCGGGCAAAAAAGAACAGCAATAAATTACATCTCAATATGATGACTATAATAAACGGTGTAACAGTAATTAAGCTCATATAAAACACTTTAAAAAGAACTTTCTGGTACTTATTTAAGCCACAATATACTGAAGAACTTTCTAGTGCTTATTTAAGCCACAATACCGAGTTATAAAATGCTTAACAATTTTTAACAAGATTAGCACTTAAAATTATCTTGCTTGATCCTTCAACAGCTCAGTGGAAGGCAAGATGCATATTAATGTTTCCGTATGACAATAAGGAGTCTAAAGTTTAGGGAAGTGAGAAGACGCCCACGAATTCACACAATTAATTCTCTGCAAAAGAGGACCAGAATCCAGGTTTCCTTTATTTAGTAAATAAGACATAATTTATCTCAAATCTAATTTCAAAGTGAACAGAGTCAAACGGAGAGCAATAAAAGGCACACATGCATCGAATATTTGCAACAAAATAATAGATTTTTTTTTTTTTTGAGATAGAGTCTTGCTCTGTCACCCAGGCTGGAGTGCAGTGGTGTGATCTTGGTTCACTGCAACCTCCACCTCCAAATTCATCAAGCAATTCCCCCTCAGCCTCCCGAGTAGCTGAGATTACAGGTGCCTGCCACCATGTCCTGCTAATTTTTGCATTTTTAATAGAGATGGTGTTTCACCATGTTGGCCAGGCAGGTCTCAAACTCCTGACCTTAAAAGACTCCCCTGCCTTGGCCTCCCAAAATGTTGGGATTACAGTTGTGAGCCACTACGCCTGACACTCAAATTTTAAATAGAACAATGTGTTGTACATTCTTTTGTAAAATATAAAATATAACTTTTAATAACATTTTGTGTTTTGTTTTTGACTTTTAGTTGTACCCCAATAATGCTCTAGGGTAGTAAATCAACATTCCTGGAGACAGGTAACTAGCCAACACAAAGACAGACAGACCATAATGGAAGTTTCCACACAATACCTCCAGAGGAAAAGGAGGCTCACCCTCCATACTTCACTGTTTCCAAAAAGCATCAGATCCAAAATGACACATGTTTTGATTCCAATGGAAATGTAAACCAAAACAAGGCTGGAACTTTGCTACCTTTTATTCTCCTCACTTGAATATGCCATGAATAATTTCCTTATTGGACCATTATTTCTTATTGCCTAAATGTTGAAATTATAGTGATAAGATCAACTCAAAACAAACTAACTTTATTTTCCCACAAAAATTTAAAATGTTTGCTATGAGATATATGGGAAAAAAAAAAAAAAAAAAGAGAGAGACCAAAGGAATTATGCAAATGGAGCTTCTAATTCCATGAACTGAAGTCCGCAACCAGCCAGCCAAGCCCTTTGAGTACAGTGTTCTTGTCGCTAATGTTTTACCAGTACTCGATATTTAGTAGGTTTTTTGAGATGGAGTCTCACTCTGTCACCAGGCTGGAGTGTAGTGGTGTGCAGTCTCGGCTCACTGCAACCTCTGCCTCCTGGGTTCAAGCTCTTCTCCTGCCTCAAGCTTCCCAAGAAGCTGGGACTGCAGGTGCATGCCACCATGCCCAGCTAATTTTTGTATTTTTAGCAGAGACAGGGTTTTACCATTTTGGCCAAGATAGTCTCAATCTATTAATCTAGTGATCCATCCACCAAAGCCTCCCAAAGTGCTGAGATTACAAGAATAAGCCACCATGCCCCGCCTTTTAGTAGGTATTTTTTAATTGAACAAATGGATTCGTGAATAGATTTCTAACAACACATATGAAGATTATAGTCACTTATAACATTTGCTTTGGTGATAAAAACACAAAGCCATAGCGAAGAGGACTCTACCTGCTTTATAAATGCATAGGTATTGTTTTCCTAAGACCCTCATTTTGCCTAAGCTGAGTGTGCAGGTCTATTTTTTACAATACTAAATCCTTGAGGAGACCCACATCTAAATTAAAAGTCTCCTCAATAAAATTAACAACTTTCTTCACTAGATTTGTATTTTGGGACTATTTGATAATTCCACTCAATCCCTGAATAATTAGAAATAGCAAGGCTTAAATATTCTTGCAATCTAAAAATAAGAAAATGTCATAAGTCACAATTCACTTAATGAAGGCTTTTCCTGAGTTTTTCATAATTTATCGTTTCCCTTCTCATATGGGACCTTATTAATGGGCTCTCTGTATAACAGAGTGCCATGATGGTATAAATCATTCTCTACCACCTTAGAAAAATTAACAATTTTATTAAGTGCTATTTAGTAGCAACATATTTAGTACATTTGGATACGTGGGATACTGTGTTTATTCTTTACATGCATACTTCATTGTCACAGTAACTTTGAAACATAGGTACTATATTCAATTTATAAATAAAGAAACTTAAGTCAATAGTCATGGTTTGCATAAAGATGTGCTTTAAAATTTTTTAAAGATAATAAGACATTAATATGAAAATACATCATGCGTTCAGTCCTGTATAGCTAATTCCCCATAGTTTTGGGGGTAGTAAGACTATGCTATGGGTCTTGGGTTGATGGACAGATGAAGAAACAGTATAAAGATATCTGATCTCAATATGACCAACAGCTGACATGAAAATTTCATTTACTCTCCAGATATAGCTGTAACTGCACGGGTAGTGGATTCACAGGGACACACTGTGATACTTCGATGCCTCCTTGTTGGTCAAAACCTTGTCACAATAATGCTACATGTGAGGACAGTGTTGACAATTATACTTGTCACTGCTGGCCTGGTAAGTGACAAAATATCTTCCACCAATTTTTTTTTTGTTTTGCTTAGAATAGAAACATATCACTTATAGCAAATGAAACTAAAAATTATTGTTAAATGTTTTAAATCAATTATTTATTCTAGCTATTATTATTTAATTTTATTCTTTAGTGCTCACACAAACTTACTGCTATACTAAATGCTGTCTAAAGTAGATTACCAAGCTGCCCAATGAGGAACAGAGGAGAAAAAAAATTAATGGAAAGATGAAATTCAGCATGATCTTCACGGAGAAAAATTCACTGGAAGATACTTTCTTTTCTTGCAAGATGCTCTCTGATATGGCAGGAACATATAGAAACCCATGAAATAATATTAAACTATTAGGAACTTGTATTCTCTTAGGTATTTGTAATGTAACAGGTTATATTTGTTAATATAATAAAAAGTTAATTATATATAAACCATGACTAAAGTTTACATATAGAGGATAATTAGACTTGAGTGTAAAGGTGATACAAGAATCAATAGAAAACAGTATGTGACATTTGTGTTACATTAAGGCCATAGGTAAATATTGATGCTAATTTTGGTTAACCAACTGCCTGACATACAGCTTTACACTGCATACTAACATTTTGGTCAATGACAGGCCGCATATACGACTGTGGTCCTGTAAGACTGTAACGGAACTGAACAATTCCTGTTACCTAGTGATGTCATAACTGTCGTAACATTGTAGCATTGCTCACTACCCATGGGATCGTGGTGGTCCCTCAGGAAGTATTCCAGAAGAAGGCATTGTTGTTATCTTAGGAGATGACAGCTCCATGCACGTTATTGCTGCTGAAGACATTTCAGTGGGACAAGATGTGAAGGTAGAAGACAGTGATATTGATGGTCCTGACTCCATGTCGGCCTACACTATGGTGTGTGTTTGGATCTTGATGTTTAATAAAAAGCTTAAAAGTTTTAAAAAAAATTGAAAATAGACTAAAACATATAGAATTAGATGTAAAGAAATTATTTTCTACGGCTGCATAATGTGTTTGTGATTTAAGCTAAGTATTATTTAAGATTCCAAAGGTTAAAACATTTGAAACAAGTTCTAGTACATTACGGTTAGTTTATTATTGAAGACAGAAAGTTTTCTAATCCTAGAGTAGCCTCACTATACAGTATTTATAAAATCTACAGTAGTATCCAATAATATTCTAGACTTTTATATTCACTCATTACTCACTGACACTCAGAGCAACTTCCAGACCTTCAAGCTTCATTCATGTTAGTACCCTACACAGGTGTACCACTTAAAAAAATTTTCATACTGTATTTTTACTGTACTTTTTGTATGCTTAAGTATGTTTAGATACACAAATGCCGTTGTATTTCAATTGCCTATAGTATTCAGTACAGTAAAGTGCTGTCCAGGTTTGTAGCCTAGCAGCAATAGACTATACCCCAAGCCTAGGTATGTAGTAAGCTATAACATCTAGGTTTGTGCAAGTACACTTTATAATGTTTACACCATGATGAAATTGTGTAATGACTTATTTCTCAGAACACATGTTTATCTTTAAGTGATGCATGACTATTTTTTGAATCTAATTCTTGTTAGGATTTTATTGATAAAAATAAAAGATACAGTATCGCCTCTCTCTTCTTGCTTTATTTACTTGGAAAATGATAAACATAATTACTCAAGGCCTAGTTTTATAAGTTTACTGATCATCTGTCTCTCTCTCACCACTAATTTTATTGTCTAAGAAAATGATAATTCCGTGGTTGAAAAGGAAACATGGAGACTAGAGTCAATCCAATCAGTATCAGCTTCTGCTTGAAAGATGTCCTACTGCCTAAGACACGTTTGATATCTTTGGTTAAATATACTTTATAGGAAAAATAAATGAAAATATATAAGGAAGTTTGGGATGCTATGGCTTGGGAATTTATATATGGTATGTCTTCCCACCTCCAAGTAATGAATGAGGAGTATTGGCTATCCTTTGCTCATCAACTTGACTTAAACACTGAAAATTTTCCAAACTATGTAGTTTCATGTTCTTGCCACCAACCAACCCTCATGAAAGGTCTCTGTCCAGAAGCAGAGGGTGGAGCGGATGATTTAGGAGTAGGATATATTCCCCGTTTATTAACGGAAGGAACTCGAGTGAGTTTCCTCTTAATCTTTTTCCCCATCGGGAAAATAAGGATCAAAATACTTCACTTGTAGTATTATTATGAAAAGTAAAATTCATACTGAATGGGCAAAAACTGGAAGCATTCCCCTTGAAATGTGGCACCAGACAAGGATGCCCGCTCTCACCACTGCTATTCAATATAGTATTAGAAGTTCTAGCCAGAGCAATCAGGCAAGAAAAAGAAATAAAGGGCATTCAAATGGGAAAGGAGGAAGTCAAGTTGTCTTTATTTGCAGACGACATGATTGTATATCTAGAAGACCCCATCGTCTCAGCCCCAAACCTCCTGAAACTGATAAGCAAGTTCAGCAAAGTCTCAGGATACAAAATCAATGTGCAAAAATCACATGCATTCCTATACACAAATAACGGACTTAAAGAGAGCCAAATCAAGAACAAACTTCCATTCACAATTGCCACAAAGAGAATAAAATACCTAGGAATACAACTAACAAGGAATGTAAAGGACCTCTTCAAGGAGAACTACAAGCCACTGCTCAACGAAATAAGAGAGGACACAAACAGATGGAGAAACATTCCATGTTCATGGTTAGGAAGAATCAATGTCGTGAAAATGGCCATACTGCCCAAAGTAATTTACAGGTTCAATGCTATCCCCATCAAGCTACCAATGACCTTCTTCGCAGAACTGGAAAAAACCACCTTAAACTTCATATGGAACCAAAAGAGAGCCCGCATAGCCAAGTCAATTCTAAGCAAAAAGAACAAAGCGGGGGGCATCACACTACCGGACTTCAAACTATACTACAAGGCTACAGTAATCAAAACAGCATGGTACTGGTACCAAAACAGAGATATAGACCAATGGAACAGAACAGAGGTCTCGGAGGCAACACAACATATCTACAACCATCTGATCTTTGACAAACCAGACAAAAACAAGCAACGGGGAAAGGATTCCCTGTTCAATAAATGGTGTTGGGAAAGCTGGCTAGCCATGTACAGAAAGCAAAAACTGGACCCCTTCCTGACACCTTACACTAAAATTAACTCCAGATGGATTAAAGACTTAAATGTAAGACCTAACACCATAAAAACCCTAGAAGAAAATCTAGGCAAAACCATTCAGGACGTAGGTGTAGGCAAGGACTTCATGACCAAAACACCAAAAGCATTGACAACAAAAGCCAAAATAGACACATGGGACCTAATCAAACTCCACAGCTTCTGCACAGCAAAAGAAACAATCATTAGAGTGAATCGGCAACCAACAGATTGGGAAAAAATTTTTGCAGTTTACCCATCTGACAAAGGGCTGATATCCAAAATTTACAAAGAACTAAAGCAGATTTACAAGAAAAAAACTAACAAGCCCATTCAAAAGTGGGCAAAGGATATGAACAGACACTTTACAAAAGAAGACATACGTGAGGCCAACAAACATATGAAAAAATGCTCATCATCACTGGTCATAAGAGAAATGCAAATCAAAACTGCATTGAGATACCATCTCACGCCGGTAAGAATGGCGAACATTAAAAAATCTGGAGACAGCAGATGCTGGAGAGGATGTGGAGAAGTAGGAACACTTTTACACTGTTGGTGGGAGTGTAAATTAGTTCAACCATTGTGGAAGACAGTGTGGCGATTCCTCAAGGACATAGAAATAGAAATTCCATTTGACCCAGCAATCCCATTACTGGGTATATATCCAAAGGATTACAAATCGTTCTACTATAAGGACACGTGCACACGAATGTTCATTGCAGCACTGTTTACAATAGCAAGGACCTGGAACCAACCCAAATGCCCATCGACGATAGACTGGATAGGGAAAATGTGGCACATATACACCATGGAATATTATGCAGCCATCAAAAACGATGAGTTTGGGTCCTTTGTGGGGACATGGATGAACCTGGAAACCATCATTCTCAGCAAACTGACAGAGGAGCAGAAGATCAAACACCGCATGTTCTCACTCATAGGCGGGTGTTGAACGATGAGAGCACATGGACAAAGGGAGGGGAGCACTACACACTGGGGTCAGTTGGGGGGAAATAGGGGAGGGACGGTGGGGGGTGGGGAGCTGGGGGGGGGATAGCAGGGGGAGAAATGCCAGATGTAGGTGATGGGGAGGAAGGCAGCAAATCACACTGCCATGTGTGTTCCTATGCAACAATTTTGCATGTTCTTCACATGCACCAAAACCTAAAATACAATAAAATAAATAAATGGGAAAAAAAAAAGAAAAGTAAAATTATAAAAATAAAGCCTGGAACATATTAAGCACTCAAAAAAGGGCAACTGCGTAGCAAGTTCTACACCAAGAGGTGGAAATTATGTATGAGGGCAGGACTTTGTAATGGAGTCAGGCAGTTAAGAACATCTACCTCAAGAAACCCGAGTGTATGTTCCATTCATTCATTCATGGGTTCCATCACTTAAGCCACAAGGATTTCAGTAGCTAATACAATAGAGATCTGGGAATCAAAAACGTATGGTTCTTTCCTTCAAGGAGCCTAAATTCCAGTAGAGAGACATAGGTCAACATCTATAGTACAATTTTTGGTACAATAAGAGACTATAACAAATTCTGTAAAAATGAATAGAGAAGTACAGAGGTAGCGTGACCAAAGGCACCATTTTAGATAAGCTAAAGATGACTGAGCAGGTTCCATAAATGTACTCACTAGCTGTGTGACTTTGAACAAATTACTGCTCTGATCCTCAGTTTCCTCATTTATAATATCCACAAGATAGAGTTGTTTCAGAGATAAATCCAGTAACATATATAAAACTCCAGGCTTATCCTGGACCACAGTAAGCACTAAATAAAAGTTAAATGAGTATCAAAATTATGAAGTCGCATAGTCCTTTACTTAAGAAATGGAGAGAGGAAGGCAAAAAAGAAAGAAAGGAGCAAGAAAGGCGGCAGGCGCACACAGAAAAAAGCACGTCCTGCGGGGAGCAGTGGGTCACACCGGTAATGCCAGCACTTTGGGAGGGCAAAGCAGGCAGATCAGTTGAGGTCAGGAGTTCGAGAGCAGCCTGGCTAAAATGATGAAACCCCATCTCTACTAAAAATACAAAAAAAGAAAAAAATTAGCTGGGTGTGGGAGTGCACGCCTGTGGTCCCAGCTACCTAGGAGACTAGAGGCAAGACAGTCACTTAAATCCGGGAGGCGGAGGCTGCAATGAGCCAAGATCATGCCACTGCACTGCAGCCTGGGCAACAGAGCGAAACTCCTACTCAAAAAA